GCAGTTCTGGCCTGATGGAGTGAATTAGGAAGTGTGCCCCTCTCTTCTATTGTTTTGTAAGAGTTTGAGATTGATTAGTGTTAGTTTTTCTTTAAACATTTGGTAGGATTTACCAATAAAGCCATCTGGTCCTGAGCTTTTCTCTGTTTGAATTTTTTAAATTATTGACACGAATCTCTTGTAGATCTATTCAGATTTCTTATTTCTTCTTAAGACAGATTTGGTAGTTTTTGTTTCTAGGAATTTGTCCATTTCATCAGGGTCACCTGCTTTGCTGGCATACAGTTGTTCATAGTATTCCCTGAAAATCACTTTTATTATTAGTGAGATATCATTAGCAGTATCTCTTCTTTCATTTCTCAATTAAGTAATGTGAGTCTTCTCCCTTTTTTAAAGGTCCGTTTAGCTAAAGGCATACTAATTTGTTGACCTTTCAAAGAAGCAACTTTTGCTTTCTTTGATTTTTGAGGGTTTTTTTATTGCTCAGGATATGGTCTGTCTGGCATAGGTTCTCTGAACACATGAAAAAAATGTATATTCCACTGTTTTTAAGTAGTGTTATATAAATTTTGATTAAATCCTGTTGTTTAATGGTGTTCTTGAGTTCTGTCTTTTTGCTGATTTTTTTTTGTCCATTTGTTCTATCAGGTGTTGAAAGAAGAGTGTCGAAGCCTCAACTATAATTGTCAATTTGTCTATTTCGCCATTCAGTTTGATCAGGTTTTGCTTCACATATTTTCCAGCTGCATTGTTTGGTGTGCACACATTTAGGATTGCTATGCCTTCTTGGTGGAATTACCCTTTTATCATTATTATGTAATGTCTTTCTCCATCCCTGGTAATTTTCTTAATGAAGTTAGCTTTATCTAATATTAATATAGCTACTCTTACACTTATTTGGTTAATGTTTGCATAGTATCTTCTATGTGTCTTCTTTCAACCTACACATGTCACTGTATTTGAAGTGAGTGTCTTTTAAATAGCATACATTTGGGTAATTTTTTGGTACACTCTACCAAACTCTTGTTTAACTGCTGTGTTTAGACCATTTACATTTAATGTAATTATTGATATGGTTAGGATTAAAGTCTGCCACTTTATTTTCATTTTCTGTTTATTCTGTTTTTCTTTTTGTTTCTCCGTTTACATTTTCCTGCCTTCTTGTAGCTTACTTGAACATCTTTCAGAGTTCTATTTTGAATTGTCTGAAGTATTTCTGAGTGTGTCTTTTGTATATTTGTTAGTGGTTGCTCTTAGATTACATTTTATGCACTCATCAAAGTCTACAGATGTCAACACTTTACCAGTTGGAATGAAGTATAGAAACCTTATCTCCCTTTATATCCCATTACCTTTCCCTGTTTATAATACAGTTACCTTTGATATTTCCCCTGCATACACCGAGGACCACTTCAGGCAGTGTAATCATTTTTGCTCCAACTTTCAAACATAATTTTAGAAAACTCAAAAGGAGAAGGAAAGTCTGTTGTAGTTACCAATATTTTGCTTATAATATTCTTTCTTTCTTTTTGATGTTCAAATATTCCTCTTTTTATCATTCCCTTTCTGTTTAAAGAACATCCTTTAGCCACTCTTTTAGGTGCATCTGCTGTTTTCCTTCATCTGAAACTATATTTATCTCCCCTTTGTTCCTGAAGAATATATTTGCTAGGTACAGAATTCTGAGTTGACATTTTTTTACCCTTCTAGTGCTTTAAAAATATGCCTTCTCTGGTCTCCATTGTTTCTGATGAGAAATCCTCTTTCATTTGATTTGTTTTCACCCATTGGTGAGATGTCCTTTTTTTCTGGCTCTTTCAATACTTTTCTTTGTTTTTGGTTTTCAGAAGTTTAATTATAGTGTGTCTTGTTGTGGATTCCTTTGGATGTATGCTGTTTGGGGTTCTGGCAACATCTTGAATAGGTTTTATTTTCCCCTAAATTTAGGAACTTTTCAGTTATTATTTCTTTAGCAAGTAATGTTTCTAACATGTAAAGTGAGAGCACACCAAGGCTTTATGTGGGTACATAGACAATTCACCAAAGAGAAAATAAAAATGAGCAGTATAAATTATAAAAAATTTAATCTTATTACTGTGCAAAGAAATGCAAATTAAAGTAAGGTGCCATTTTCTGCCCGTTCAATTAGTAAACTTCAAAAGCTCCATATACTTAGAGCTGATGACAGGCAGTGAAAACACACTCAGGTAAGGGGTCTAAGGGACACACGCTCCTGAGTGTGAGCTAGAAATGCTACTTGGAGAAATTTTTCCTGAGGAAACTGTCCAAAATCAAGGCTCATGAATAATGACATTCATAGCATTATTTATAAGAGAAAAAATGATCATTTATAAAGCTGTGTCTTAAGGGATGGTTGCATGATTACCAGAATAATCATCACCATTAATGTTAATCCAGGGTCCACCTTGAGCCAGGAAGTGCTGTCTGCTCAGCTCCTTTGATGTTACGCCTCTCAGCATCCCCATTTTATAGAACTTTGAAACAGATCTCACTGGTCACAACCCGCCGCCCAGAGTGGTGGAGACGGAGGAGTCCATCCTGGCTCTGTCCCCACTCCCAAGGTAGTTAGAAACGATGACCATCACGAGGGCGTTTTTAACAGAGTAGGGATATGTTTACAGTATGTTGCTAATGAAAAAGGAGGATCCAGAATCACTGTACGATTTCAAGTGGAAAGAGTATAAAATTGTTGCAGAATGTAGCCTGCCGAGAAGGAAGGAATCTGAAGGAAAGGGCTGGGGGAGAAGGTGGACAGAGAGGCCCGATGGCAGTGCAGGCTTGAGGGGTGGAGGGCTGCCCCCAGAGACCACCCAGAGACCCCCATCCAGTGTGGTCTGTCTGCCAGAGCCCCCTGCCCACTGAGGAAGGTTAAGCAGTGGTGCCCTCCCATTCTGACCACAGCCCCAGAGCCCCCCAGTGACTCAGCACACAGGCTATCCTCTCAGGAGCAGCCCGTGGCCCCAAGCTCAGCCACCTCCAACTGAAGTCAGAGGAGCTGTGAAGGTCAAGGGAGCCAGGGAGGCTGGCTCGGGAACCTGGAGGGCGCTCAGGAATGGCAGCAGAGGACCGGGGTTGGTGACTGTCTCTCTCCCAACCCTGCAGCCTCTACCGTGGAGGGCTTCACATCTGTGGTGGGACAAAGGCAGGGAGAGCCCAGTTCCTTCGTCTGAACTGTGAATTCACAGCTGTTTGTCAAAGGGCACTCGGCTGTCGTAGGCATCCATACCCCTCCCACGCCAGCCGCCTCTGGTCCCAGGGCAGGGCTAGCAACACTGGATGAGCTGCCCCTGGAGCACAGGCTTGTGCCGAGAAAGGGTAGCAGGCAGTGCCCTGTGTTCAGAGGCTCCACAGACAGCTGCTGCCCTGGAGGAAAACATCCTCAACTATTTCAAAGCCGAAAGAAAAGGGATGTTCTCACTTCCCTTGAAATGAAATCCCTTAACTAGGAGCTTCCCAAACCCCAGCCCCCCGAAATCTGGAACCTAAATTTGGATTGTCCCTGGAAGGTCACCGGATCACCCTGGTGTGGGGTCAGCCAGCAGCTGCTCAAGATAAACTGATTTCTGCCGACTCAGGCCTTTCCCCACACAATGAGATCCTGCCGCACTTCCCCTGGGAAGCAGAACAATAGCGGCAGATGAGCAGGTGGCCTTGGCCTGCGAGCAGGCCCGAGAGCCCCTTGCTAGAAGTCAGGCATTCACACTGCACAGCCTGGACCCCTCTCTGACCTTGGCCTGCAGGCCTGGGCACCGCAGCCCTGCTGGCCTCCTTCTGCCCTTTCCCGCCTCTGGGCCCTTGCTCAGGACTTCTTCCTGTGTTTAGGCTGAACTGTCACCTCCTCAGAGAGTCTTTGTCACTCAGCATCTCCCTGCTGTCTGCCGCATGGCCGTGGGCATACGTGAAACAGCCCTACCCAGTCCCTCGTTGAGGGCAGGCCCCTGGGTGCGTGTTCTACTGCAGGACTGGCGGTGCAGCTGGCGCCTGTCACCTGGGCTGCTCCCAGGGTTAGTGCTTTGTCTATGGGCAGTGTGAGCCACACAGAGTTTCAGGCAGAGTGTGAACCAGGAGCCAGGCCTGCTGAGATGACCCTGCTGCCATGAGAACAGTTCAGGTGGCTCAGAGTAGGGCCTAGGCAGCCTGAGGCCACAGCAGCCATCCTGGGGAGATGGCAGGATGGAGAGTGGTGGGGGACCCTGGGCAAGGTCCCTGGACTTAGGGCCACAGGAAAGTGAGATTGAAGGGTGGAGAAGGTGGTAGGGCTAGGCCCCCTGGAGTGGATGGGAGAGGGGACATTGAGGAGGGTCTGCAGCAAGAGGGTTGCTGCGAGTGAGGGGTGGCTGGGAGGAGGCAGTGGTACTCGGAGCCCCATCCTGTGCAAGGAGTGAGAGGTGGGGGTCAAGGATGGGGCAAAACTGCTCCCCCCGAGTCACACAGGGCCCAGCAAACTTGCCTTGGATGTCCTCCCACCATGCTGGACGACAGGGTATTATTGCAACCACCTGAGGAGGGAGAAAGAACCAGGCCCAGGAGGGACAGGTCTGTCAGAGCTCCCAGCCTGTGGCCAGGCTTCTCTGTGGAGTCCCTATGAGCAGGCCAGCACCTTGGACCTGAGCAAGGGATGAGGGTCCTAGAGGCTCCACTCCAGGGCAGAGTACTGCTGGAGACAAAGGTCTGACAGGGAGTAGGGAAGGGGCTGCCAGAAAGGGGCTGGTGCCCCCACCTGAGCCTCGGTGGGGTCCAATGTCCATCCCCATGGGCCTTTTGTAAAATGGCTGGGCCATTGTGCAGAAGAATGCCCGGAAATCCCTTGCCTCCCGCCTCCAGCGAGGATGGGGGCTCTTCCTCCCAGTCAGGAAACTCCATGTTGGCTTCCGGAGGGTGGCCTGGGGGCTGGGGTGCAGGATCGGCACTACCACTGGAGGGAGGGCAGAACACAGCCCATACGTGTCTCCTTGTGTCTCTTGTCGGAGGGCTGGCGGAGGTGGCTGAGCTTGGGGCCATGGCCTGCTCCTAGGAGGACAGCCTGTGTGCTGAGTCACTGGAGGCTCTAGGGACTTACTGATGCTGAGTCACTTGAGCTGGGCCTCAAAGGATAGGGGATGGGCAGCACTTCTGGAAGAGGAGCAGTCCCTGTGAAGGCTGTGAGGTCTAGGAAGCCTCGGCCGCAGGGGCAGAGTGGGGGGGGGTCTCTGATGGCCAAGGAAAGGCCCCTCTGCCACCTTCTTCCTGTTGGATCCTCAGGCCCCAGGGCAGTGATAGTGCTGGGGAGGATCTTGGACAAAGCTGGAGCCTTGGGCCTGACCCGCACAGGCCTGCCTGGCCTCTTGGTAGGTGCGAGGGTCAGTGTCAGCAGTGGGAGGGCCACTGTGGTCAGGGTGCCGAGAAGGGGCCTGGGTTGGGCTTGGAATCCAGGGCGAGCTTCCTGGAGGAACAAGGCGAGCTGTGTTTGGCCAACCCAAGAGAAGGGGCCGAGGGAGCCCCCAACGCAGGCCTCCGTGCAGTGGCGATGGTGGGGGGCTCCGGCACACCGTGGTCAGGGAGGTGGGCCAAGGAAGAGAAGCTGGCCGGGGAGGTAGGCACCAACAGGCTCATTCGGAATGTGGCCGGGAAGTCGGTGCAGACCCAGGATCATGAAGCTTCTGAAATGGCGAGGCGGGCCCGCGCGCATTCGCCTGAGGCCAGTTCGGAACGCGCGCGGCCAGGACCCAGGGACAGCGGCTGGTGGGGTCCCCCGGGGAGGCGGCCTGGCGGGGAAGGTCCCCCCTCCCTCGCTGCCTCAGGCAAAGTTTCCCGAACTCGGGCTGCCGGGGGCGCCTGCGATTGGCTGCGGGCCCATAGCCCGCGAGCGGATTGGCTGTTCGGGGCTCGGGGGCTGGGCCCGAGGGGTAGAGACCGCCCCGAAGCATTGAAATGGGAAGCCCCCCGGAGGCTCCCGCAGACCCGAGGCTGTGCTGTGGCGCCGCGGGGCCGGGACACGGAGGGAGTGAGCCGTGCGCTCACGGAGGCCCCGGGCCGTCCGGCGCGCGTCTCCTCTTCAGCCATGGGGTCGGCGGCGCTGGAGATACTCGGCCTGGTGCTGTGTCTGGTGGGCTGGGTGGGCCTGATCCTGGCGTGCGGGCTGCCCATGTGGCAGGTAACCGCCTTCCTGGACCACAACATCGTGACGGCGCAGACCACCTGGAAGGGGCTGTGGATGTCGTGCGTAGTGCAGAGCACGGGGCACATGCAGTGCAAGGTGTACGACTCGGTGTTGGCGCTGAGCACGGAGGTGCAGGCGGCGCGGGCGCTCACCGTGGGCGCCGTGCTGCTGGCGCTCGTCGCGCTCTTCGTGACCCTGGCGGGCGCGCAGTGCACCACCTGCGTGACCCCCGGCCCGGCCAAGGCGCGCGTGGCCCTCACGGGTGGCGCACTCTACGCGTTCTGCGGGCTGCTGGCGCTCGTGCCGCTCTGCTGGTTCGCCAACATCGTGGTCCGCGAGTTCTACGACCCGACCGTGCCCATGTCGCAGAAGTACGAGTTGGGCGCCGCACTGTACATCGGCTGGGCCGCCTCGGCGCTGCTCATGTGCGGCGGCGGCCTTGTGTGCTGTGGCGCCTGGGTCTGCGCTGGCCGGCCCGACTTTAGCTTCCCCGTCAAGTACTCCGCGTCGCGGCGGCCCACGACCAGCGGCGATTATGACAAGAAGAACTACGTCTGATGGAGCCGGGCATAGCAGGGCCGTGAGCCGGAGAATTGGCCAGAGCAGCCCCTCACGGACAGCGGCCTGCACCTGCGGCATACAAGCTCCGCAGAACTCCAATTCTTTGCTGTGACTGGACTCTGGCCGCACTAGCGGGGCCCAGGCCCCGCCCTACCCTGCAAGGCGACCCACACTTGGGAGGACTCGCTCGGTTTCTTTTTCTGTGTGCAGTTCTGGCTGCGACGTGGGTGGGGCGCGGGTTCCCTGGGCTCTGTGGGCTCTGGACTGAAGATCCCATTCCCTCTCCGATCCTTAGGGTCTTGGATGCCGCCCACCTCTCCGTAGCTTCTGCCGATTCCAAAGGGGTGGACAGAGTCCAGGACTCCCAGCCTGGGCTGCCGGAGGGACATGTACAGCTGGTCTTTAATCCATCAGCAGGCTAGCCCCTGGAGGTGGGGGGAAAGAGACTTGGCCTGGACCCGAGACATGGGCACCAGATACTGGGTGTGGGACTCAGGCCCTGCCCTCCTTTGCAGCTTGGGGGGGGGTTGTTTGCTTAGTAAATGGTTTGGATACCCTCCCTGTGTCCTGTCCTGTCTGTCCAGTCACTGCCTGGGCCCAGCAGCCCCCATTCATCCACCTATGCACTGACTCCTCCCCAAAAAGCTCCTTTGGGGACCTCCCAGGATTGGCCCTTGGGATCCAGAAGATCCCATGACCATTTCTCAGGTTCACCCTGCCACCTAGTCACCTTCCCATTGGGTGGGAAAACAGCTACAACTCACTGCAGCCCAGGGAGGCAAGATCTGTAGTCAGAAGGGCCCCTGCTGAGTCATGGGGCCTGCAGTGGGGCAGGGGTTTGATGCAGACAGTGGTGGGTTGCCAGGCTGCTGGCTTTGCCTAGTAGAGGCTGGGCTCCACACACCACAGGGTGGCTGTTTTCCACCTGCCCTCTCAGGGCTCACCCATCTCTGGGTCACATCAAATGGCCAGGTATCAGTCCACCACTGCCTGGGCCCTTCTGCCAACAGTGCAGCGGGAACGGGGGCAAATCCAGGATGTGCACTAGGCTCCTGCAGAGCTGGCTGCAGGTCCACAAGCATGTTGCCATGGGGAGGAGGCACCTGCAGCCAGTTGCCCAGAGTGCCTGGGCTCAGCTCCAGCCCCTCCATCCTGGCTCTCTGTGCAGGCCCTGTGCTTACCCTGCTGGCCTGGCGGCCAGCCCAGACTTGCCAACCATCAGGACCTCTGTACCAGCCCCTTCTGGGGGCACCCTGTGGGAGCTTCCTCCTGTGGGTGGGATCACTGGGACCTGGTGTTGACCCTAGCCAGGCACCTGGGGGTGGGGGTCCCAGGAGGGCAGAGCAGACCAGAGCTGTCATGGCCACCAAGTGCTCACTGTTCCCAGCCCTGTTCTAGGCACTTTGAATTCATGCACTTTTACCTTCTGCCAAAGGCCAGGGCGGAGGACAGGACAACATTGGGGGCTGCTGGGAGGGACCCCAAGCCTAGTCAGTGGCTAAAGCTTGGCATCTGCCCCCAACCTCGGCTCCAGGGGCCGTGTTCAGAAATGTCTGGGCCAGGTCCAATGGCAAAGAGTCTCCCAGGCCTGGCCAGGCTCCCTGTTGGGGTGGATGGAGAGGAGGGTAAGAACCTGAGGACAGGGGCTCAGGGCAGCTGTTGAGAACGCTGCCCCGAATCCCAGGGTTTCCAGGGAGTCTGAACAACCCAGGGGCCTGAGTTCCCAACAATGGGATGCCTGCAGTGGGATGGGCCCCACTGCACAGGGGTCCTCAGCAGCCCCGCCCAGGCCAGAGCAAGAACACTCCCTGAGTGCTGGTGTATGATCCTGTGGCCTCGGCTCTCGGTGGGGCTGGGATAGAGGTCCTTACACTTCTGCTCCTGGCCGCTGGGCCCGGCCAGTGCCAGGTACAGTGTTTGGCCAGGAACGCAGGCCCAAGCCTGCACCCCACATGGCCAGGAGCTGACTCCAAGTACCCAGGCATCACTGGGATTCTGAAGCATAGCTGCCCAGCCCCAGCTCCTGCAAATGGCATGCGTGGGCAGCTTGAGGGCCCTGGGGAGCCAGGCTGCTGCCCCCTGACCCATACTAGGGAGGGCAGGCAAGAGGAGCCAGCCGCCAGTGCAGCTACCCCAGTGCCCACTAACCCTCCCTGAAGGGCACCAAGACCTGGTCCCACCCACCCAGGTTCTCAGTTCTAGGACATGATTTCTGGGCTTTTCTCACCAATTTAAAGCCTGCCCAAACCACTCTGCCTCCTGCCCTCAGCCCCAGGCACCACACCCAGTTGGCCATGTTCCTCCAGCCTGCCTGCTCCCGGGCACCCGTGCTCCAGGTGGTGGCTACAGATGGCCCCAGCCACTTGTGTGAATCGCTCTCTCATCCCTGAAGGGCAGAAGTGGCAATCCTCAGTGAGGGGGGTGTAGCTCAGTGGTAGAGGGCATGCTTGGCATGCACGAGGTCCTGAGTTCAATCCCCAGTGCCTGCATTAAGGTGAAAAGAAAATGGTCCCCTCCTTGCCTCAACTCTTGCACAGGTGCTCTGGGGACATCTGGGAGGGTGGGGCCAGCTGATCCCACAGCTCCTCTGACTGAGAACTCTCGCTGCCCTGAAGCCTTTGGAGGCTGCTGAGGTCTGTCCAGCTTAGACCTTCTGTGACCAGGATGTGGGTGAAGCCAACCTCGGGGCTCTTTAGCCAGCTCCGCCCTTCCTGACTTGGGGCCTCGCCTTGGCTGTCCCTGCCTGGCTCGCCTGGCAGTGCCCACTGTGTGCCTGCGAGGTGGGGAGGTGCCTGGAAGGCAGGTGCTGGGGGGGAGAGGATGGCCATAGTGTGGGGGTCCTGGGAGGGGTGCATGGTCAAGAGGGTGGACTTGAGATGCTGCCAAGGCCAGTGCACAGAAGGAAGCTGTGGGAAGCTGGACCAAGCCAGAGCCTGGAGGCCACCCTCGTGCTGATTTCCACTGGGCCTTGAGGGGTGTCCAGGGCACAGAATCAAGGCCCCTCTGGATCCTTAGAAGGCTCAGGGCACAGCCAAGCACTGGCCCTGTGATCAGAACCAAGACTGGGGCGCCAAACCTAAAATAAACATTTTATTCCATTCAAAACCACTGTCCCTGTATCTAAAATCACATTCATAACTTATAATCTAAATAAAAGTCAGTTAACATAAATAAGGAAAGGAGATCATTTCTGAAGAAATCAAACCCTGGGAAAGACAAAAAAGAAAAGATGAATTGTAAATAATTCTGATGTCTCCCCAGACCAAACAACCTGCCCAGGCTTCCCTCTGGGTGTGGAGCTCTTGCTTCCAAGCAGCCCCACCAGTCACAGGGGTGAGCATGGGTGTCCCTGGGGTTCGGGGGGAGAACCTCAAAGGCCCATGGCCCCCAGTGCCTGCTTCCTCTGTGGACTCACCTGGTAGCTTGTCCATCCTCAGCCTGTGGTGCCCCAGAATGCTGCCCCTCGCCCTCCCCAGCTGCCCCACCCTGCACCTGTCTTGGTGGCAGTAAGCACAGCGGGGCTGGCATCCTTACTGAGCAGGCTGCAGGGAGGGGTCTGCCTTGAATGCCAGCCATACTGCCTGAGAGCCCCTGCTGGCAGCCTTTGATTTGGGTCCCAAACTCACACCTCCGCCCCTGCCTGGCCCTCGCTAAGGCCCAGCACTTGTGGCCCAGGGGTGTCGGCCCTGTTTCAGATGGGGACATGGGCGCAGCCTGGTGGGTGTGCAGCCTGGTGAGGTTTCCCATCACCGACAGCCATGGCCCCCGGCCAGGGCTCAGGCAGATGGCAGGCAGGGCGTGGGCATCCACAGTGGGGGCCCGGGCTGAGAAGTGGTCAATATACAGAGCAGACCCCTGGCCCATTTCCCAAGGGTCTTCAAGGAAGAGGTGGCGTGTGGGGCACAGGGGAGAGCATCACAGTGACGGCCACATGTGGTCCAGGCAGGCCCGGTCAGAGCCCATATTCTCTAAGTCTCCACTGAGTGGCTGCCACCAGCTTTGTTTTTTCACAGGTCAAGCACATGAGAGCCCAGACAGACACCCCCCAGGAGCTCCTGCCCAGGGCCTGAGGCTGACCGAGGGCAGCCTTGTTCCTGGCAGCACCCAGAGCAGTGTGGTCAGGGAGGATATAGGCCGGCTCTTTCTGAAGGGGTCCCAGGAGCTTAATGAAATTAGTGCCCTTGGAACGCCCGACTGTAGTCCTGCCACCAGCCCAGGGACAGATGTCCTTGGGAACAAGGCGTTGGCCCCAGTCTCCTAAGGGGCCGCACTCTGGCTTCAAAGGCAAGTAGCAGCTGGCCTGTGTGGTGGGGCCCGAGGGACTGGCCGGCACCCGCCTCCCCCACCACTCACCTAGGACAGGAGGGAGACAAGCGCGTCCAGGAACTTGCTGCGGTCCTCAGCTTTCAGCTCAATCACTGGAGTAATAATGAAAGGAAAACAGACAGCGCGAGGGGGAGGCCCCCAGTCATCAAGAATCCAGACTGCAACAGCCCTCCTCCACATTCCAGGACGTGCTCAGCCCTGATGGCTGCAGCGTTCCGGAACATGAGGTCTTTCTAACCCTGGGAAACAGCTGGCCACCCTGTTGGAGCAGCTGGGGCTGCAGCTTGTGGGGGGGACCGGCAGTGGCAGTTAATGGAGGGGACCCAGGATGTGACACTGAGGATGCCACAGACCTGGCAGAGCTGGCCTCCCACCCTGCCAGTACAGAGCCTGCTCCAAAGTGGTTGTGGGAGGTCCTCAGGTCGAGGAGGGGAGGCCAGCCTTTTGTTCTGCTCTGGCCACTCTCAGCTTCAGTGCCCCATGCTGTGCAAGTGCAAACTGCCCCCACCTCTGGGACCATCAGGCTCAGACATGTGGCCCCTCATCAGACCGGCCTGGTCCTGCATCCTTTGAGCTGTCTGTGCCTCAGGCCATGGGTCCTCTGTAGCCTGGTCCACCCACAGAGGAGGCATGGAAGAGGAAATCGGGGGGCTGCTGCTGGAGGGGAGCCCACCCACCCTGAGTGGCCTGGCAGGAAGATGCCAGCTCTAGACACCAGAGGCAGTGGGGATGTGGGCCGGGTCTCTGCAGTGACTAGTGTTCGTCAAGGAACCCGCTGGTGGTGGAAGGGAGGTCTTCTGAGAGGTGGGTGCTCTGGGCCCAAATTTGCTGTGTTGAAGGCCTGACTCCCGGCATCTCAGAAAGTGACTGTGCCTGGAGACGGGCTTTTAGAGAGGTGATCAGGTTAACTGAGGTCGTGGGGGGCCCTGATCCAGTCTGACTGGTGCCCTTACAGGGAGAGAGCCGGACGCAGAGACAACCACATGGAACACATGGCTGTCTGCATGCCAAGGAAACAGGCCTCGGGAGGAGCCAGCCCCGCGACACCGTGCCCCATTTCCAGACTCCAGGATGGTGAGAAATGTATTTCTGCCGTTCAGACCCCCAGTCTGTGGTGCTTTGTTCCAGCAGCCTGAGCTTGCTAACACAGGGGCGAGGTACCAGACGTCTGTTTTACTTTAACACCCGTCAGCCGGGATAAAAAGCAAATATGGCCAAACTGAACCATGTG